AAGTATCCTATCAGTCAGTTACGCATGAACCAGCTCTCTAGCGTTGGAAATGTAATTAGATATACACAGTTTGTCAAATCTCAAAGGTCTTTGAAGTTTAAATCTACTCTTGTGTTGTAGTTTGATCCCAAAGTTTTCCATACAAAGATCTCATCTGGTGAATTATTTAAAGATCCCAACCATAGATGTGTTACTCTCGTCATGGATGTTTAGAACAAGGCTGGTTTTGGAGAACTCATCAATTCAGGAGCTCCAGTCAGCAAAAGAAAATTTGAAATTTTATCAAATAAAACACGTAAACACATTCGAGTGTAAAGTGTTCAAATACTCAAATAGGAGGGCTTATTCTTTATATTATAGATTTTTATTCTTTAAAAAAACGTACGGATATTTTCAATATATATTTTGGTTCAACAAAATGTTACCCTATAGGTATGTAACAAAAATAATTCACAATAATGTTTCTATCAGTTATTTAATTTTTTGAAAATATATTTATCTTTCAGATAAACCATGTCATAAGTTTGGAAATTTGCTGCCCGCCGTAAAATTTAAAATTTAACATTTTGTTGTACCAACAAAATTTTGTTGTACCAATATGAGCAAAAGAAATTTACAACACGTTTCTCTAATTAAAGTTCACATTAACAGATGTCAAACGCATTTTTTCAAGCTGCATAAGTCTAGGCCGACGGTGCCGTTTTTTGGCGTTAGAAATAGCTAACTTACAGACATTGTGCATACTCAAAACATTTATATGTTTATACTTATGTCAAATAAAAATGCTTTGCAAAAATTGCGATGGTTAGAGGCTAGAAACAAAAAAAAAAACAAAAATTTGTGCCCCCTCCCCAGCCCCAAACGTGAGAGCATCCAGTTGATAAAATAATTTTTGTACTATTCTAAACTAGACTAATATGATTCGACAATTTTTAAATTTCATAGTAAAATATTTTAGCGTTCAAAAATTGTGACAATATAAAGTTTTTACCCCCCTCAATTTGAGGGGGTTATAAATTTTATATGGACGTTATTTTTGAACGCCAAGAAATTATACTATGAAACTTAAAATTTATCGATGAATATAAGTCTAGTTAAGAATAGCACATAAAATATTTTATCAACTGGTTGCTCTCACGTCTGGGGCAGGGGGGCACAACTTATGGGGATTTTTTGTTCCCAGGCTCCAATCATTGCAATTTTTTGCAAAAGCATCTTTGCTGGACATAAGTATAAAAATATAAATGTTTAAAGTTTGCACAATGTCTGGAAGTTAAATATTTTTAACGCCAAAAACGGCACCGTCGGCCCGGCTAGTTTTTTGCACCAAAGTCAGATTACGATCAGCTGATAAAATGTTGAAATCTTTAGTTTTCTTAAAATTATTTTACAACAAAATTAAGTCATTATAAGTTTTATTTCGAAATATAAACATAATGTTGTTAATTGTTTAGATAACTTTTTAATAAACAATGCAAGATACATAGCAACTTACATAAGTTTTAATATTTAACAAGAAAAACCGAAAACCATAGTTAACTGTTTTTTGTTTTATTTTAATTAAAACGGGCATGACATCAAGAAGATCGCAATGACCTTATCACAAAGCCCTTAACAAAATTCTATTTTCTTCTACAATAAAAACGTCCATAAACTATATAAAATAAATATATACCGAGATTATATAATCACTAAATATATCATAAATTTGATACTCTACATACTTCAGAAGTAAATAACAAAATAAAACATAATAAATCAATATGTGGTATAGCAACTGAATATATATTTTTTTTATTTGTTTTGGGGTTTAATTTTATAAAGGTTTACAAATACATTGGGGTACATAAGTTCTTTACATTTGTACATAAAACACGAAACATTAAATACATTTAGTTGATAAACATTTAAGACGTCTATTTCTTTAAAAAGCAACGTTATTAGAAATATTATTTATTAAATGTTTTTTGCAACGTTATTAGATATATTATTGATGTGTGATAAAAACTCCTAAAAATTTTGCCACTTTTTCTCTTTTGAGGATAACATTGTCTATAAAAAGATTTTATATTACATATTTATAGACAGTATCTGCTTTTAAAAGTTTGGATGGAAAGGTATTCATTTTGTTTTTTCAATATTTAAAGATAGAAATTAGAAAAATTGAAATTTTAATAAGTTCTCTGTTCATATTATTAAAAAGTATGTTTGTATTTTCATGTGACTGAAACAAGTTTGTGTCGTCTGCAAAAATAATTTTTTTATATATATTATATTTATATATATATATATATATATATATATATATATATATATATATATATATATATATATATATATATATATATATATATATATATATATATATATATATATATATATATATATATATATATATTTGGTAATACCTAGTGAAAAGTTTTGAATTTGAATATATATATATATATATATATATATATATATATATATATATATATATATATATATATGTATATATATATATATATATATATATATATATATATATATATATATATATATATATATATTTTGGTAATACCTAGTGAAAAGTTTTGAATTTGAATATATATATATATATATATATATATATATATATATATATATATATATATATATATATATATATATATATATGCCATCCATTTGTAACATAATTGTGCTAGTACTCTTATAATTTACAGCTGTTGATGGATTCAGCCTCTCTGAGAGCTACCACAGAGTTTAGGAAACCTTACTCAGAGCACCGCGGAAGAACATTTAATAGGAAGTTCACGCCTACTTCCCAACCGATGTCGCAAAACTTGCCCAGAGGTGGGGTTTGAACCACGGATCTTACGTTTCTGAGGCAAGTGCGCCACGGCTGCTTTAAAACGTATTTTTAACTCCAAAAATCTGGCTCTAACTCATAAAAAAATAACTTTTGCCTAAAAATGATAAGATTGAACCCTCGGGAAAAGTAATGTTTTCTGATGAAAGCACTATTCGAATCTAACCAGGTTCAATATATGTAAGAGGACTATCAATACTATTACTTAAATACTATTGTTAAAACTTAGATACTATTGTTAAAACTGTTACATAGAGAACTATGAATTGTTACCTCCACAAATTAAGGCTATAAAAGCATAGTGTTTTTATAATAATTTAAGGCAGTTTTTCTGGTCCGGCAAACCTATTTCTTGTAACCTATATTACCTTGTAAACCATCATAATTATTTATAATTTATATTTATAATTTATTACCATCATAAGTTAACTTAAATTAATTTTTAACTTGAATTCTGTCGGATAACTATTTAAATTGAAAATTTATTTCTACAAATTTAAGGCATTACGCGACGCTAAACATTTTTTGCATGATAGTGTCACATGCCATTAGTCAAATAAAGTTATGGAAGTGCTTTGAACTCAGAAATTTTAGGTCGGAAATCTCCCCAGATCTGAACCATATAGAAAACTGTTAAAGTTACATAAAAATTAGACTGAAAAAGAATCAATATTCATTACTTCCGACGCGATAGAATAAATTTAAAAAATTAAGTTACTGATCCCAGCGAACATTTGTTTTTAAAAGTTACGTTCTTAGCGTGTTTTAAATGTCTTTTAAACGTCTTCTAAACATTCTTACGTCAAGAACGTTTAAAAGACGTTTAAAACACGTTTAAAAGACATTTAGAACGTAACTTTTAAAAACAAATGCCCGTAGGGATATGCCTGATATACAGATACTGATATACAGATATTTAAAAAGTTTATTTGATAGAATGCCAAGGGGGATATAAATCAGAGTTGTTAGTCCTTGGCCTTGGCCTTGCTTTAAGGCCAAAATTTAAGACCGTGGCCTAGGCCTTGACCTTGAAACTTTTGGCTTTAGTCTTGATCTTGACCTTAACCTTGATTGTTTTTGTCATGGCCTTCATAAAAAATACATAAAATTAAAGAATTAACTCTTTTCATTCTTTATTTTACGTAATTACTTTATTAACGTAAGGCAAAAATTTAAGTCTTTGGTCTTAAAAATGTTTGCGTAGGCGTTGGCCTTCAAAATTTTATTCTTGGCATTGGTCTTGGCCTTGTAACATGCAGCCATTGCTACATTTGGCCTTATTAACAACTCTGATATAAATGATATTATAAAAAGATATAAAAATAATCTATTTTTAAACAGTTTTTATAAAAAAATAGTATTTTTTAACTACGCCATATGTTTTACGCCAGCTATATTAAATATGCGTGTGCGCAAGGCGTATTAAAACCTGCATTACCAGGCCCTAAGAAAAGTATAGTCCCTTCAACTCTTGCTTTTTTTTTTTTTTCATTTTTAGGAAACCAGATTTTTTTTGTATATATCTCTTTTTTAGAACCAATTACTTGAAAGCTTGAGAGGTGTTGGGAATAAGTTCCTTGAGATATAGTATTCTAACTTTTATTTTCAATTTTTTCGGTAACTTCCGCTACCGCATTAAATTTAATCACTGATCATTTATGTATTTTGATCACTGATCATTTGTGTATTTTGATTTGTATAAGATTTTGAGTTGTACTTAATTCCAAATGGGGTTACTAAAGATCTGCAAGAAAAAAGACATTAATATTGCATTTAGGATGTAAAAATAAAAAAGAAATACACAAAACTCTTAAAAAGAAATGATAATATAAAAATTGAATTCGATAATTTTTTATATTATAAATATCGTATGATATTTATACCTATTTATGGAATAATTTATTTTTTTGCGTCTATATTTGAAGTATTTTTTCGGATTAGTATTTATAAATTTTCTTCAATTTGAGGGCGTACAAATAATAAATGATCACTATATAGATCAAGGTTGTCACTGTGTGAAATAATCTTGTCTTTTTTTAAAAAGAATTAGATAGAGATTAAGAACTTCGAACAATTAAATTGTAAAAATATTTTGTACACGTGACGCTGAACTTAGTTTTTGTTGTTTGGCAACGTAAAATGTGCTATGCAAATTTCACGTTACCATGCGGCATTATAACAAAAGGAAGTTAACTGAAGAGGAGAGTGATACATTTTTTTAAGCAATGTTTCAACACAATAAACGGATTGGAAGCTTCATCAAAATAATAAGAACATAATAAACAATCGATGGAAAGTATGAATTCTAAAGTTTTTATTTTTTTTATTTTTCAGTTGAAAATATTTACCGTGCATGACAAAGTATGTAATAAATTACTTTTATATTACACCAGTTTTTTTTAATAATATAAACAAATACAAATTTAATGAAAAATTTATATACATGCATATGTACATGCATATATACATATATATATATATATATATATATATATATATATATATATATATATATATATATATATATATTTTTTTTTTATTAAATATATATATATGTATATATATATATATATATATATATATATATATATATATATATATATATATATATATATATATATATATATATATATATATATATATATATATACATGTTCATATAATGAAATTGGTTTGAAATATATAAATATATATATATATATATATATATATATATATATATATTTATATATATATATATATATATATATATATATATATATATATATATATATATATATATGTCACATATATATATATATGTCACATATATATATATATATATTTTTATATATATATATATTTATATATATATATATATATATATATATATATATATATATATATATATATATATATATATATATATATATATATATATATATATATATATATATATATATATATATATATATATATATATATATATATATATATATATATATATATATATAGTGGTTGATGCGGAGAAAAAAAGTAGCGGGATGGTATTTGGTAAATTAAAAATGCCATCCCGTCTAATCACTGTAATATATAGAGATTTATAAAAAGGTGACGAAATCGCATCCCGCCTCATCTCGCCTCACTTTGAGCACTGTATATATATATATGTATATATATATATATATATATATATATATATATACATATATATATATATATATATATATATATATATATATATATATATATATATATATATATATATATATATATATATATATATATATATAATATATATTTATATATATTTATATATATATATATATATATATATATATATATATATATATATATATATATATATATATATATATATATATATAGGCCCGCCCAGAGCTTTTGTGATGCCCGGGTCCAGAAGTTTAATAGATGCCCTATCATACTTCAGGTCTTAAAATAGCAAATAAATTAATATAGTTTACTTTCATAAAAAGCCTAAAATCACATTTAATTTTGGTTTGCAAAAACAAACTATGATAAAATCAATTCTTAATTGACATTAAAACACATCTTCCGGGCCTTCTTAGCAGCAAAATTTGAAATAACTTCTTCATAATTAACGTTAATGGCTAAATCTGATTCGATTGAAAGGATCATCAAGTAGCACAATCGCTCCTGGCCCATTGTGGAACGAAGATATTCTTTGATGATAGCTAACTTGCTGAAAGATCTTTCTCCTTCAGATGTTGAAACGGGCAATGTTAGTAAGATTCTAAGAGAAACACACACATTTGCGGAAATATTGAATGCAGCCCCTTTGCATAAACTTCATTTAGAAGTTCGACAGGCTTTTCGCTGGCTAGAATATTTCTTCTTACGGAAAAAAAATGCCGAACTTCATCAGAAAATTCGTTTTTACATAAGTCTTCTGGGTAAAGTTTAGCCAGATTCTCAGCATTTAAACCTAGTTCTTGGTCTGTTTGAGATTTCTGTAAAGACCAAAGGAAGGAAAACTTGCTACATTCCTCTTCTATTACTTTAAATCTTGATCTCATTTGACTAGTCAAATTGTCGAGTGCAACATTAAAGACATTACACTCAAAGTTTTTGATGCTTCTTCGTGGGTGTAACCAGCAGTTTCATCTGGGATGATCTTTTTTCGCGTTCTCTTCACAGTAAACATTATTTTATCAAATTTTAAGTTCTTTACAACTTCTGTTGCCTCTATCAAAATCAGGTCCCAAGACAGACGAATTTGATCCAGATCCATCAAAAGGCCATTTAGAATCTTTACTTCATCATCGAGAGTGAGTTAAGTGGATTGAAGCAGAAGACTCACGTTGTTAACTGCCATCAAACATTTAAACCAAAAAATAGTGAAAACAACAAATTCAAAAGAATTCATCCATTTAATGAGATAATGCACTTCATTACTACTTTCGCCTGGAAGGTCTAACTCTTTTAGACGATGTAATGATTTCAAGATCTCTCATGGCTTTTTTGCTAGTGGCTTAACTGATTCAATCCTTGAACTCCATCGTGTAACAAAAAGTTTATGTAATGATTGGCCTGTCTCCGCTTGAAGATTTTTCCAACGAACTGGGATGCTGCTAAATAGATTGTATAGCTTTTGAATATTTCCAAAATGGGATTTTGCAGGAGCCGATGATTCAATAGCGTGTACTGCACATAAGTTCAAACAGAGCAAGGAATGAAAATTGCTTGTGGATTATTCTGTCTTATAAAAGCTTGAACTCCATTGTAAATACCTGCCATATTAGCGCCGTTGTTGTAGCCTTGACCACGACAATTTTTTATGTCGAGCTCATTCTCTTCCAACACATGCAATATCAACTTTTATATCAGTTATTATTTGTTATATCAGATCCCTTCTTCTTTTCAAGGATATCATTGAAATGCAAAAAACGAAAAACAAAAGTTATTTGCTCGCTGTGGGACGAATCGGGAATGCTGTCCGTGATGATGGTGAAATATATTGATTTTTTGATTTCTTGAATAACTTCTCGAACCACTAAATTGCCGCATTTCTTGATAAACTCATTTGGTGATTTCCAGGATAAATAATGAGCTTGCATGCGTTTTTCTTCTTCTTGGTGCTTAGCAATAAGATGCATATGATCTTGTAATGTTTTGTTGTGGTGAGCAATTAATTCGAGCGCCCCAAGGAAGTTTCCATTCCCATTTATGAACAACTTTTGATTGGATCCTAATTACAAACAAAAAATAATCAAAATAGTAATCCATATTTATATCCAATTAAAACTTGTAATTTTGATTTTTAAATTACAAATAAAATAATGCAAAATATAATTTAAAATTTAAAAACAATATTCTTACCCCTAAAAGATAAGTTTCTTGAAGCTAGAAAAATTGTGACGTCAAGAATGCATTGTAAAATTACTTTCCATCGCTTTGTTTCATCTCCAATTTGTTTTTCTAACTGATGCTCAATGGACTTTTGACTTTTCAAGTGAATCGTAGCTGTTTTCCATTGGAGATAACAGTTACGGTGAAAATAGCTTTGTTGATGACTTTTAACACGATCTGAAAGTTTTCTCCAATTTCCATGTATACCTCAATTCCAAGACAACAAACTGGATTGAACACCGGGTTTGGTTAAGTTAGGCGATCCAAAAAGGGAGCAAGGGAAACAAAAGAGTGATGCCACAGCCTTACTCCAAACGAGCCAATCTCTTCTAACTTTTTCTCCGTTTCTTTGTTCCTCTAAAATGATATAAGTAGGGAATTTGCTTTTTTTTTGATCTCTTGGAAAATTGCTAGGATTTGAAGAAGGTCCCATCAGAATTATATTCATTCGATCAGTGTCTGATATTGATTTCCATAGTGCAGGATCGTTAGAGATTGGTATAGAAAAATCACTTTTATAAATTTGTTGGTCATTGTGACAATCAAGTACAAAATCCAACTGATTCTTTTTTAAATGGGCTTCAAGAAACTTATCTTTTAGGGGTAAGAATATTGTTTTTAAATTTTAAATTATATTGTTTTTAAATTATAAATTATATTGATGATGTTTTTTGGGAGTCACCGATGTCATCGGCAAGAAAAAGTTTGTCAAAATTATGGTCTGGCAACTCATTAGAGTCATTGATACCAATCTCAATATCATTGAACTATAAAGAAGTATTAAACAGAATTATTCTAATTTTTTTTTCATAAACGTCACAAGATTTAAAAATAGTTTAACTACCTGCTTGCATTTATCTTCGATTTTTGTCCAAAGAACGCAATCTAAAAGCGTTCGTTTGTTTTTGCTTTCGTTTTTTTTCCGAATCATCGCTCTTTTTCTCCCAGCAGCTCCAGACGGCTGGTTCAATCTTGGAGGCCTCTGATTATTCATGCTAAAACTTATGACGGTATAAAGAATTTCAACTTTTTAAATTTTAAAAATTAAAAAATTTATAATACTTTGGTGTTATTAATTGCAGAGAAAAAGTCAGTACTTACAATTAAAATATCCACTGAAGATAAGTTTCTTGTCAAAATATAGTCGGAACAAAATGCAGGCGAGTCAAAAACATACATATGCACAAAAGTATCCACAGGGACGCAAGGTTTAAGCAAAAATAAGTTAAACTATTAGAAGTTAGGCTTTTACAAACGTTAAATAAGAAAAAAAAATTTTAACGCTTTTTATTCTATCATGCGAAGAAAAGGCCAATGAAAACGCGTGGGTTCAAATGGATAATGAAAACCTTGTAAAGTAATAATTATCCTATTTTAAATGCAAACAAAGTTTAAAAGGAGAAAGAAATTAATACACAAAAATTGCTTAATCTTTAAGTACGTTATCAGCTAAATTTTTTATCATTTCAATAATTTTTTTTTTAAGGCATGTAATGCCTCATAGACTGTGATGCCCGGGGCAAACTACTTCAATTGCCCTCCCCCCTCTTGGCGGCCCTATATATATATATATATATATATATATATATATATATATATATATATATATATATATATATATATATATATATATATATATATATATATATATATATATATATATATATATATATATATATATATATATATATATATATAGATAGAGAGAGAGAGAGAGAGAGAGAGAGAGAAAAAGAGAGACAGAGGCGCTTTCGCGGAGGGGGTAGGGGCTTTGTGTTCTAT